CTTATGTCAGTTAGTGCTCAGACAAGCTAGGTTTTTTGTTTATAGGGTTTTCTGTTACATTTATGTTTTCATTTAACTGCTGTATCCTGTGTGAACTTACAAATAAAGTGCCTGGAGTATTTGCAACTACAAGGACTGTGCATGTTTTTGCCCTAGAGGACCGTGCTACCTGCAAACAAGGATCACAATAATTATTAGGCAACTTCCTTTCCTTTGGCAAAATGGGTCAAAAGAAGGACTTGACAGGCTCAGAAAAGTCAAAAATAGTGAGATATCTTGCAGAGGGATGCAGCACTCTTAAAATTGCAAAGCTTCTGAAGCGTGATCATCGAACAATCAAGCGTTTCATTCAAAATAGTCAACAGGGTCGCAAGAAGCGTGTGGAAAAACCAAGGCGCAAAATAACTGCCCATGAACTGAGAAAAGTCAAGCGTGCAGCTGCCACGATGCCACTTGCCACCAGTTTGGCCATATTTCAGAGCTGCAACATCACTGGAGTGCCCAAAAGCACAAGGTGTGCAATACTCAGAGACATGGCCAAGGTAAGAAAGGCTGAAAGACGACCACCACTGAACAAGACACACAAGCTGAAACGTCAAGACTGGGCCAAGAAATATCTCAAGACTGATTTTTCTAAGGTTTTATGGACTGATGAAATGAGAGTGAGTCTTGATGGGCCAGATGGATGGGCCCGTGGCTGGATTGGTAAAGGGCAGAGAGCTCCAGTCCGACTCAGACGCCAGCAAGGTGGAGGTGGAGTACTGGTTTGGGCTGGTATCATCAAAGATGAGCTTGTGGGGCCTTTTCGGGTTGAGGATGGAGTCAAGCTCAACTCCCAGTCCTACTGCCAGTTCCTGGAAGACACCTTCTTCAAGCAGTGGTACAGGAAGAAGTCTGCATCCTTCAAGAAAAACATGATTTTCATGCAGGACAATGCTCCATCACACGCGTCCAAGTACTCCACAGCGTGGCTGGCAAGAAAGGGTATAAAAGAAGAAAATCTAATGACATGGCCTCCTTGTTCACCTGATCTGAACCCCATTGAGAACCTGTGGTCCATCATCAAATGTGAGATTTACAAGGAGGGAAAACAGTACACCTCTCTGAACAGTGTCTGGGAGGCTGTGGTTGCTGCTGCACGCAATGTTGATGGTGAACAGATCAAAACACTGACAGAATCCATGGATGGCAGGCTTTTGAGTGTCCTTGCAAAGAAAGGTGGCTATATTGGTCACTGATTTGTTTTTGTTTTGTTTTTGAATGTCAGAAATGTATATTTGTGAATGTTGAGATGTTATATTGGTTTCACTGGTAATAATAAATAATTGAAATGGGTATATATTTGTTTTTTGTTGTTGCCTAATAATTATGCACAGTAATAGTCACCTGCACACACAGATATCCCCCTACCATAGCTATAACTAAAAACAAACTAAAAACTACTTCCAAAAATATTCAGCTTTGATATTAATGAGTTTTTTGGGTTCATTGAGAACATGGTTGTTGTTCAATAATAAAATTAATCCTCAAAAATACAACTTGCCTAATAATTCTGCACTCCCTGTATATTTACTACTATAATCACTGCATCACTTGGGATTTGGGAGACTTATAACGGATATACTCAGCCGAAGTATAGGGGATCCATTACACTATTCATAAGTAAATCCAGAACAGAGAGCCAGAGTCAAATCTAAGGGGTCAAGTCTAGCACCCCACCAATTTAAAATGTCACCAGCTGCCCTGTAAAAAGTTCTAGGAAACTGGCCATCTCCTGGCTTCTTGAGGTTATTTACATAATTCGGTCTAGAAGACTGGTAAAAAAACAAAAAAAACATTTTATTCATCTGCTGGCCCCTCTTTATATTACTATTTATTTTGCTGCCCATTGGGTGAAGTAAGAGGAGAGGCCATTGTTGTAAGTTCTATTCTTTTCCATCATAAAACAAAGTTGAGATGGAGAAAGTATATTTCTGTTTTCTTTCCTCCAGTGCTGTGTGTGCCCTACCCAGGGCCGGTGGAAGAATTCACACTCTTCACTCTCCTCTCCCCTCCATTTTACTGGTCTCACTTACTCAGCATGTCTATGAGAGATGCAAGATTTTTACTCCCAAAACCACAGGTCTCCCAAGAAGAGCTGGATTTACTTTAAATGCACCCATAGGCACATCATTTGTTAAGTGATGCCAACTCCCACCCAAAAATATATATAGACATACATTCTCCCCAAACCCCTAGTCACCCCCACTTCTCCCCCCAAAAATTAACCCCCTACCTACCCCCTCACCCTAATAATGAGGGGGGGACCTTTAACTAAGTACCTGTAAAAAAACCCAAAAAACTTACCATTCAATGTTTTCTTTCTTCTAAAATCTTCTTTCCGCCCCAAAAAGGCCAAATAAAAAACCATCATAACTGACGCAATTAAAAAAAAAAAAAACTAGCGCAAAAAATAATAATCCATCTTCACCCATGGAGGGCTCCGTGCAGACTGAGCTCTGCATGGTGGGGGAAGGCTTATAAAAGTTGGTTTGAAATCCACCAATCAGAGTGCTCTGTGTCATTTTACACAGCGTGAGAAGGTTCTTTGGGATTTTCCCACGCTGTGTAATTTGACTCATAACTCTCTAATTGGTTACTTAATCCACCAATCAGAGAGTTATGAGTCAAATTACACAGCGTGGGAAAATTCCAAATACTTTCCCACGCTGTGTAAAATGACACAGAGCACTCTGATTGGTGGATTTCAAGCCAACCAATCAGAGTGCTGTGACAGGTAAATGTAGAGACTTACCTGTCAGTCTCTTCATTTACCTGTCAGAGCACTCTGGTTGGATGGCTTAAACCCACCAATCAGAGTGCTCTGAGCTAATTGCAGGGCGGGGCAAGGCTTTATAAGCCTTCCTCCGCCCTGCAGAGTTCAGTATGCACGGAGCCCTCGCCGGGTGAAGGATTATTTTTCTTTGCACTCGTTTTTTTTTTTTTATATATTTTTTTAATTGCATTGCTGAAGATGGATTATTTTTCTTTGCACTTGTTTTTTAAAAACATTTTTTAATTGTGTCGGTTATTATATGTTTTGGGGAGGGCTGAAAAATTACGATTTTAGAAGAATGAAAACATCAAATGGTAAGTTTTATTTTTTTTACAGGTACTTAGTTAAAGGTCCCCCCCTCATTATTTTTAGGGTGAGGGGGGTAGATAGGGGGATAATTTTTTTTGTTCGGGGGGAGGGGGTGACTAGGAGTTTGGGGACCCCTAGTTACCTGGGGGGGACTTTTTTTAGGGCCCCCCCCCCTGCCACTCAGGAGTGGGAGATGGGGGGAGGACAATAGGTCCCCCCTATTGATATTTAGGGCCTCCACCCGCCACTCAGGGGTGGGGGTCAGGGGGGAGGACATTAGGTCCCCCCCCTTATTCCAATTTAGGGCCCCCACCCGCCGCTCAGGGGTGAGGGCCAGAGGGAAGGACCTTATTAGTATTTAGGGCCCCCACCCGCTGCTCAGGTGTGGGGGCCAGGGGGGAGGATATTAGGTGTCCCCCCTTATTCCAATATAGGGCCCCCACCTGCCGCTCAGGGGTGGGGGCAGGGGGGAGGATATTAGGTTCCCCCCTTATTCCAATATAGGGCCCCCACCCACCACTCAGGGATGGGGGCCGGGGGTAGGTCCCCCCCCTTATTAGTATTTAGGGCCCCCACCCACCGCTCAGGGATGGGGGCTATGGGGGAGGACATTAGGTCCCCCCTTATTCCAATTTAGGTACCCCACCCGCAGCTCAGGGGTGGGTGCCAGGGGGGAGGACATTAGGTCCCCCCCTTTATTTGTATTTAGGGCCCCCACCCACCGCTCAGGGGTGGGGGCCACGGGGAGGACATTAGGTCTGTGATGAGACCAATCTTGCCACTATGCATTGGAGGAGCCTGGTTGCCTTCCTGCTGCCTTTTGACTATGGATTGGCATTTAAATACTTTATTTTCCTATGCAGAAAGGTCTATTCATGTATTTCTGCCCTGGCGTTCGGTAGATTCTCGGATTTAGTGAATGAACTCATTTAACCCAGATAGCTATGCCATGGAGCCTATTCGTGTAATAAAAGACTTTGGCTCCATAGCAATTGAACTGTATGTGTGTGGTCTGAGCGCCATTCAGTAATAATGTGCGCTTAGACCTATGCTATCTGGGGATATGTTGCATGTCTGTATTTTATGTAATAAATGTAACCTTGTGTATTTTATTGTATTTTACTGTCTTTTTACTGCTATGTGCCTAATGGAGTTTTGCCTCTGTCTTTGGAGATAATTGGATTACTTCCCAATCATCTCCAGGATAGAAGACTCTGTGGAACTGGTTTTGGGCAGAAATGCCATGCTTCATTTGGTCAGAAAGGACTTCGATCTATCTTTTGAACCAACAGATCAATTTGGATGATTTTGACATATGTTTGTATTTGGAGTATGCTGATTCTGAAAATGTATGTGAATGTGATTCTTTGTGCTTTTAAAGTTATGAATAATGTGGAAAAACTGTATTTCTCTGCTTGTGATAATTATATTAACCCATTGTGTAAGGTAATTGTATCACAGGCAGAGGGGAGGATTTTGTGTGGGAGTGTCTGAGTGTATTGTACGTGTTTATTGGTTGTTTTCCAAAACCCTGTGGGTGGTACTAATGTGTAAGAATGTGTATATAAGAACAATAAACCCACAGCTCTGTCTGTTCCTGCTTTACCCTCAAAACTGAGCCTTGTCTCGTTCTTGGGGGGATTTATTGTATGCTGTTCCAGTTCGACTGCTAGGAGTGTAAATCTATTGGTATGTTTTTTCCTATTCGGCTGTTTACAGCATTTGTATGTTTGAAAGCATTCGCATGCTTCTCCAGTTTGGCTCCCACCAGCCCAGGTTTTGGCTACCACAATTGATTTGGGTGCTAATTAAAATTTTTACATCCATGATATACATTTTAAAGAAAATTGAGCATCACATGAAAACACAAGCAATAGGTGATTTTGGTGTTTTATTAAATGGTATAAATTCCACAAAAGTGTCAAAGCCCCTTCTAAATGTGTGCCAGGAAGTCTTGTTATACCTTCTCAATCAGGAGCTGTAATACTTGTCAACATAGTTCATATTTATTCCAGGCCAGCCGGGGTTTACACTATATATAGTTTAGCACTTAGCATCAATTCCATTTATTCTAGAACAGTGGGTGGCTAAAAATTTTTCAGAAGTTGTAGGTCCCACTGCCTATCCTACAAATCACCCCCTTCCCTTTTTTTTTCTCTCATTCGCTTTCTTTTCATTTACTTGAGAACTATTTGTTCTTCTAATTTTAACTTTACATTTGTTTTCTTGCATCAGTTCTCTTTCACCACCACAAATAAGGGCTACCAGGCCTGTTTACACTACAGACCCTCCTGGGCTCTAATGTGGGCTTATTATTCTAGTATCACCCAGTGCTAGTTGAACTTTTCCACCAGCGTTTTAGTTCTGCAAAATCCAGGGATTTAGATCCTGACTACCCCTGTTTCAGAACAACTGATAAATGGACTTGATGCTTACAGCTACATTGTATTAAAATTAGCATAGAGACACAAGGAGAGAAACCATATCAAATATCAAGTGTGAAATCAGTCTTAAAATTAAAGGTGAATTTTATTTGGGTGTACTTTTGCTGTTAGTGGTTTAAGTCCAATTAACAATATGCCGATTGCATTAAAATAGACTTTAGCAGAAAACAGCAAAGCGAAATCCTCTTAGTATCTGGTGATAAACGCAAGTGAAGCAATTGGGACAAAACATAAAACTGTACGGAGTGCAAGAATGGTGATATTCCATCTTCTTCCCACCTGTCCACCTAGGATGTAAGAAAAATGAATCATTAGTTAAAATAAATATATAGATATAACATATCTTGCGAACACAACCCAAAATTCAAGACAAAAATAAGTAAAAATAACTTGCTTTATACACTAGTTCAGTAACTGTCATCTTGTTTTTGCACAAATTTTTTATTGGGGTTAAAATATATTGGAGGTACAGGAAAGCAAATAGGAGGTGGAATGTTGTAATGGTATTTCATCATTCTCACGTCAACAGAGTAGAAAAACAAAATAAAAAAGGCTGTAAGGAAGGCAGCATCTTGGTCAAAACTTGGTCAAAAATCTAAGTAGATTGAAAATAATGGTGTTTTGCAATATCTTAAGTAAGCACAACGTGCTGTAAGATCTGATTGAAAAAAATAAATACATTTGTTTTTATCATGGAGGATGTGAGTCACAGCCAGGGGAGGTGTGACAAGAGCTGCATAAATAAAGTGATTTAACTCCGAACTGGCGAGAATTGTACCGTGACACTGCAGGGGCATGATCTATACACCAAAACTGAGGTAATGTATTCAGTTTGAAGAGTATCCGTTATTTTACTATTCAAACTTCAATTTGCTACAATTTGTACTTTAGTGACTAAAACCAACATTGTGACGGAACGCTGGCACTCCGACTGAGTACCTCCGCCAATCGATGCTCCTAGTGCTCGCTGAGGACTCCAAGCACTCCAACCGACACCATCAGCACTGCAGACCCCACTTCCAGCGATGCAACTGCGCCGGGGTCTCTGCTGTTTCCACCCACCCTGGACCCAAGGCCAGGATCCAGCTTCCAGTGGGTGAACCTCTCTTTCCCCAGAGAGCAGGAACAGGAACAAATCAAGCTATTGCAAGAGCTTCCTCTGGGGAGTAAGTGATTATAGCAATCCCCAGAGTGTAGGTATCCCTTCCCCCAAACATGAGCCAAGGCTTAATGCTGGAACAAGACTGATTTACTGGCACACAGAACTCACAATTTATGCAACACAAAACTCCTCCTCTGGGCCAGGCTAGATAATTGAGTTTCTACAATACACAAAGCTCAATTATCTGCTGGCCAGAAATAATACAGTTTCATAAAACACACAGGGACCCCAAAACATGCAATAACCCCATAAAAAATATCCTTGGAACCGGGGGATCTGGGTGAACCACATATCCAAAATTCACCCAGATCCGTTCAGTACTTTGGAAAATACAGTTTAATGCAGATTCTGCAGAACATATACAGGCTAAATGAAAAACAATCACTGTATAATGTGTCCCCTGCTGTATAGTCCAAAACCACTGCACGATGTCTCTGTGCACCAAATACTGGCAAGATGGCACCGTGTTGAAAAGTCCAAACAGTGTCTGTGAGTTAAAATGGCCGCCATCCATTGTTCTCACCATGTGCTTCTGATACAGGAAATGGTGGCCACCTAGTAACTCCACAGTATGTCCCCAGATGGTTCTTAAAAGGGCCAGCAGCAGCACAACACAAATCCATTATGCCCAAATCATGTCTTTAAAGGGCAATACATCCCAGGGGCCATAGTCACAGGGCAAGAGGCGGGCAAGCAGTCCTCTCCAGGCACAAGTGGCGAAGGGCACTTCGTCACAAACATCCTCTTCACTCACAATTTGGTAGTTCTGCTATCCCTGAGTATGAATGCATGAAACCCATAAAGTAATCTCCAGACATCAGTTATCCCCTAAGCGACCGATGACAGAATTATTCCGTCACAGGTGTCGTACACAAAAGGGCTAACGAAGAAGCCATTCCATCAGATGGTCTCTTACTGACAGGGACTGTTTCCATGGTGGTTACTAGGGAACCCCAGATATTATTCGATGTGCGGGGCTCACCTTTGTCAGCTGGAGTCAGAATTAGTGGCCCCCACGCTGACTAATGCAGTGCTCAAACTGTGTGCTGCATATAGCACTTTAAATTTCTGGGTTCAGCCCCGGTCTTCGTGATGTAATTTCTGATGTCACCAAAATTCGACTATCAAGTTTCCTTGCAAGCTCCTTGCAGCGTAATTACCGGCTGCAAAAGGTGATCAGAGCTGGGCTTTATAGACTGCCCAGCAATGCGCACAGTGAGTTATCGCAGCTGCAGTGAGATTTAAATAATATTGTGACAAGTTGTCACAATCTGATTTATCATCAGAGAGGGAAATAATCTGTATAATGCTTGTATGGTATTTTGTATGGTGCAGAGCGCTCTGCACTGTAAGGGATTCCTTCAGCTGATCGTTTTGTGCTGTCAGCAAGGGGATTCATTTACTGATATCAGCAGAGGGAACACCTCTAATACTTTTGCTAGGGATAAGGTTAGGATTAGGAATAGTTTTAGAATTAGGCTTAATGGCTAGGGTTAAAGGTTAGGAATAGAGTTACTTTTAGGATTAAGATTAGAATTAGCATTGCTACTTTGTACAGGCATACATAGGGTGTAGTGTAAAACTCAGGAGAGGATAATACTGAGTACACTTTAGAGAAATTCATTACAGTGATACCCGTGAGATTTAAAACAAACATGCAGCATAAACACATTACAAAAAACTTTATAAGCAGAAACACATTATAAAAATTAAAATTAATATCTCAATAAAGTTCAGAACATGTGATAATGTGAGGGTCCCCATGGTATACACCAGGGGTCAGCAACCTAATGCACGTGTGCCATGCATGGCACTCAAGGTGCCTTTGCATGACACTCAAGGTCAGGGCCATCAACAATGACATTTGTGCCTCTCCAAAGTGGGCATATTTGTTTAATACCCCTGAAGGCAATCCACGTGTAGCATAGGGTGATAGGCAATGTGTGTGTGACACAGAGACAATAAGGGATGTTGTGTGAGGGCGGAATAAGACATCTAGAGTGTGGAAGGTGGACATGGGGTTGTGGGAAGGGGACATGGGGCTACAGGATGTGAGAGGGCACATGGATGTGAGAGGGCTGCAGGGTGTGGGAAGGGGACTATGGGCTGCTAGGGGGACACAGGGGCTGTTGGGTGAGAGATTGTGTCATGGGGCTTCTGGGTGTGAGAAGGGACATGGGGTTGCTGGGTGAGAGGGGGACAGGCAACTGCTGGGTGAGAGGGTGCAAGGGCTGCTGGGTGAGAGGATGCAAGGGCTGCTAGGTGAGAGGGGGTACAAGGGCTGCTGAGTAAGAGGGGGAACAGGGGCTGCTGGATGAGAGGGGAGCAAGAGTTGCTGGTGAGGAGGGCAAGTGTTGCTGGTGAGAAGTGGGACAAGGGCAGCTGGGTGAGAGGGGGACAAGGGCTGCTGGGTGAAAGGGGGCAAGGGCTGCTGTGTGAAAGGAAGGGCAGGGTGTGAGAGGGGAAATGGGGCTGCTGGGGGAGATAGGTGCTGCTGGGTGAGAGGGGGAGACAGGGGCTGCTGGGTGAGAGGGGAAGACAGTGGATACAGGGTATGAGAGGAGACATTGGGCTGCTGGTTGAGAGGGGGGGCATAAGGCTGCTGAGTGAGAGGTGGAGACATAAGGGCTGCTGGGTGGAATTCATACTGAAGCAGAGCAGCTCCTGTCTTTAACCTGTGCCTGGCCAGCCTGGTCCCAACTGTACCCCAAGGAAGCTACCCACACTCCTAGTTCTACACAGAGCTGCAGAATAAGCCTCCCCCTCATACAGATATCACACACAGCCCCCACAAACACAACACCACTGACAATCCACACACACGCAACCTAACAAGCAGCCTCTCACTTGCAATATCCCAAGCAGTCCCACACTTACAGACCAAACACAATGTGGCATATCATGTACACACACAATTACACGAGCAGCTCCATACACAGCCAACATTCATAGGTATCATACACAATACTATGCATGAAATACGCTTTACAATATAACAGTCCATCAAAGCAACTGCAGCCCCCATAAATAACACAAGCAGCATACACACCTCAATAAAAAAAAAAAAATAGTACTGGCATGCCAAGGAACTTCAAAATCTTGTTTTGGCACAGTACTACCAGGGCCGCCATAAGGGGGTGACAACCATGATGGCTGTCATGGGCCCGGCGGTCCTGGGGGCCCCACTTTCTTTCTCTGCACACATAGATAGCGAATATCGCTATCTATGTGTGCAGCCGCGGGCCCCCGGCTCCCTGTTACCGCAGAGGGGGCCCAGCACACAGCTTCTACTCTCTTTTAATAACTCTCACAAGACCCAGTTACCATATTAGAAGAGAGGAGAAGAGTAAAGGCAGTGTGCTTGGCCCCCCCTGCGGTAACAGGGAGCCTGGGGCCCCCCATGCCACCGGATCCCCAGGGATCATGGAATCTCTCCCCTCCCTGGACACAGGTAAGCAGGGAGGGGGGAGAAAAATTTAATTAATTTAATATACACTAACACAACACACACACTGCATACACTTACACAACACACACTCTGCATACACTAACACAACACACACTGCATACACTGCATACACTAACACAACACACACACTGCATACACTAACACAACACACACTCTGCATACACTAACACAACATACACTACATACACTAACACACTACATATACTAACACCCACTACATACACTAACACAACACACACTGCATACACTAATACACTAGTACAATACACACACTGCATACACTAATACAACATACACTCTGCATACACTTATACAACACACACTGCATACACTAACACAACATACACTCTGCATACACTAACACAACACACACACTGCATACACTACTCAAACACACTCTGCGTTCACTATACACACTGCATCTGCTACACAAACACACACTCTGCATTCACTGCACAAAAAGTATCTAATACACACAAACACTACATCCATTACATACATTCTAATTCACTTCCACTATACACACCACATTCAGACCTGCATCATTGTCAGCGGACTAGGTAGGGCGTGGGCGGGCCCGGGATGGAGGGGGGGCCCAGACCTTGTCCTTTGTCAGGGGCCCCAAAATTTCTGATGGCAGCCCTGAGTACTATTAAAAGGTTACCAACCCCTGGTATACACATTTGCAAATGGTATGTATTTATGGAGTAATGTCAATGTGTGAGCTACTAAAATGCACCATGCACCCATTTTCACTTTGCCATTATTTGAAAAACTGCATTGGGCAGGTTATTAATTCAGCCCTGTACTTTCATAAAAACTTGACAATGGTATGTAAAAGCGATCATTCTGTACTCAGGAGATATAGCTTAGCACAATTTTGTAATTTTTTGTTACATCAAATCCATCACAATTCTTAGTAAAAAATGAAATGTTCAAGTCTCTTATATGGCACTGTGGCTTCATAGGAAAGCTTCAGCTGTTCTGAGTACATGTAGGTATCATTGTACTCATGGACTCAGAACAGCTAAACACAATATGCTTGAAATGCTGCACATGCACAAATATATTAATTTGTATGTCTGTGGCTCTTTGCCCCTCGGCATACGTGACCCAAGGCACATGTGACTTTTTGAGAAGCATTTGATTGGAATGCGTGGTGGAGTCTGTGACTTCAGAAAAGGTGTGGAGAGGAGCTCCGGGAGCTTCAAACGATACTGGATTCTAGTTAAGTTTTAGATGAATTAGCTGCTTAACCCCTTAAGGACTGGACTGTTTTTGCGATGTTGTACATTTGCAACCAGGAATATTTTTACACTTTTCTGGTGTTTGTGTTTAGCTGTTATTTTCCGCTCTCTCATTTACTGTTCCCATACAAATTATATATTGTTTTTTTCAGGACAAAAGGGGCTTTCTTTACATACCATTATTTATATAATCTCATGTATTTTAATTTAAAAAAAATAAAAAATATGATGAAAAATTGAAAAAAATACATGTTTTTTGACTTTTACTTGAAAAATCTTTTACTCATCTACAAAAGCGAATGAAAAAAACAGCTAAATAGATTCAAAATTTTGTCCTGAGTTTAAAAATACCCAGTGTTTACATGCTTTTTTGCTTTTTTTTGCAAGTTATAGGGCTATAGGTACAAGTAGGATATGGCGGTTTCAAAACAAAATTTTTTAAATGTATCAATAGTGACATTGTAACACTATTATCTGTCATAAATCTCTGGAAAACACTCCACATGTATATATTTTTTTTAAAGTAGACAACCCAGGGTATTCATCTAAGGATATTTTGACACTTTCTATGCAGCCATTTTACCACAAGTCTTTGCCAAACTTTGCATAGATAGTTGTTTTTTTTGTTTTTTTCACATACATTGCAATTCAGGTATAAACTTACAGATCCTGTTATGTCTTGCTGCCAAATAACACGCCAATATGTGTTCAGCAACATCTCCTGAGTACAGTGATACCACCCATGCATAGGCTTGTCGGATTGTTTGGGGGCTAAAAGGCCACATTTGGCAGGTGCGCATATCCATTTTTCAACTTGGAATTTTGACATGTAGTCAACCTGCGCACATGTCCTATTTGGGACATTTGTAAGGCCGGCCAATGTATTTTACCCCCACCAAACCATATATTTTTGGAAAGTAGACACCCTAGGGTATTTCAAATGGTGGTTTTTTAACACTTTCCATGCACTAATTCTACCACCAGACATTGTCAAACATTTAGGTAGTCATTTTTTGTGTGTTTTTTTCACACACATTGTACTTTAGGCATGAATTAACAAATCGTGTTATGTGTCACTGCCAAACAACACGCCAATATGTGTTCAGCAACATCTCCTGAGTACAGTGATACCACCCATGCATAGGCTTGTTGGATTGTTTGGGGGCTAAAAGGCCACATTTGGCAGGTGCGCATATCCATTTTTCAACTTGGAATTTTGACATGTAGTCAACCTGCTCACATGTCCTATTTGGGACATTTGTAAGGCCGGCCAATGTATTTTACCCCCACCAAACCATATATTTTTGGAAAGTAGACACCCTAGGGTATTTCAAATGGTGGTTTTTTAACACTTTCCATGCACTAATTCTACCACCAGACTTTGTCAAACATTTAGGTAGTCATTTTTTGTGTGTTTTTTTCACACACATTGTACTTTAGGCATGAATTAACAAATCGTGTTATGTGTCACTGCCAAACAACACGCCAATATGTGTTCAGCAACATCTCCTGAGTACAGTGATACCACCCATGCATAGGCTTGTCGGATTGTTTGGGGGCTAAAAGGCCACATTTGGCAGGTGCGCATATCCATTTTTCAACTTGGAATTTTGACATGTAGTCAACCTGCTCACATGTCCTATTTGGGACATTTGTAAGGCCGGCCAATGTATTTTACCCCCACCAAACCATATATTTTTGGAAAGTAGACACCCTAGGGTATTTCAAATGGTGGTTTTTTAACACTTTCCATGCACTAATTCTACCACCAGACATTGTCAAACATTTAGGTAGTCATTTTTTGTGTGTTTTTTTTCACACACATTGTACTTTAGGCATGAATTAACAAATCGTGTTATGTGTCACTGCCAAACAACACACCAATATGTGTTCAGCAACATCTCCTGAGTACAGTGATACCACCCATGCATAGGCTTGTCGGATTGTTTGGGGGCTAAAAGGCCACATTTGGCAGGTGCGCATATCCATTTTTCAACTTGGAATTTTGACATGTAGTCAACCTGCGCACATGTCCTATTTGGGACATTTGTAAGGCCGGCCAATGTATTTTACCCCCACCAAACCATATATTTTTGGAAAGTAGACACCCTAGGGTATTTCAAATGGTGGTTTTTTAACACTTTCCATGCACTAATTCTACCACCAGACATTGTCAAACATTTAGGTAGTCATTTTTTGTGTGTTTTTTTTCACACACATTGTACTTTAGGCATGAATTAACAAATCGTGTTATGTGTCACTGCCAAACAACACGCCAATATGTGTTCAGCAACATCTCCTGAGTACAGTGATACCACCCATGCATAGGCTTGTCGGATTGTTTGGGGGCTAAAAGGCCACATTTGGCAGGTGCGCATATCCATTTTTCAACTTGGAATTTTGACATGTAGTCAACCTGCGCACATGTCCTATTTGGGACATTTGTAAGGCTGGCCAATGTATTTTACCCCCACCAAACCATATATTTTTGGAAAGTAGACACCCTAGGGTATTTCAAATGGTGTTTTTTAACACTTTCCATGCACTAATTCTACCACCAGACTTTGTCAAACATTTAGGTAGTAATTTTTTGTGTGTTTTTTTTCACACACATTGTACTTTAGGCATGAATTAACAAATCGTGTTATGTGTCACTGCCAAACAACACACCAATATGTGTTCAGCAACATCTCCTGAGTACAGTGATACCACCCATGCATAGGCTTGTCAGATTGTTTGGGGGCTAAAAGGCCACATTTGGCAGGTGCGCATATCCATTTTTCAACTTGGAATTTTGACATGTAGTCAACCTGCGCACATGTCCTATTTAGGACATTTGTAAGGCCGGCCAATGTATTTTACCCCCACCAAACCATATATTTTTGGAAAGTAGACACCCTAGGGTATTTCAAATGGTGGTTTTTAACACTTTCCATGCACTAATTCTACCACCAGACTTTGTCAAACATTTAGGTAGTCATTTTTTGTGTGTTTTTTTTCACACACATTGTACTTTAGGCATGAATTAACAAATCGTGTTATGTGTCACTGCCAAACAACACGCCAATATGTGTTCAGCAACATCTCCTGAGTACAGTGATACCACCCATGCATAGGCTTGTCGGATTGTTTGGGGGCTAAAAGGCCACATTTGGCAGGTGCACATATCCATTTTTCAACTTGGAATTTTGACATGTAGTAAACCAGCGCCCCTGTCCTATTTGGGCCAATGTATTTTACCCCCATCAAACCATATATTTTTGAAAAGTAGACAACTCAGGGTATTTTAAATGGTGGTAGTTTAATACTTTTCATGCAATAATTCTACCACCAGCCTTTGGCAAACTTTTGGGTAGTAATTTTCTTCATGTTTTTTTTACACATACATTGTACTTTAGGCATGAATTAACAGATCCTGTTATGTATCACTGCCAAACAACACCCCAATATGTGTTCAGCAACATCTCCTGAGTACAGTGACATCACCCATGCATAGGTTTGCTGGGTTGTTTGGGGGGCTAAAAGGCCACATTCAAGACTTGTACATATCAGTTTTTCAACTTGATATATAGGTATGCTTGGCCTATCTTCAGTTTGGCATATTTTTGCATCCCCCCGTTAATGTTAACATCATGAAAGTTTATATTTTTATAAAGTAGACATTCCAGAGTATTGTATATGAGGTGTTTTCACATCCTTCCCCCAACCATTGTGCTAAACAAATTTCAGAGAACGTGCATGGTGGTAATTTTTTAATTCTGCTTTTATGCACACGTCATCTGGTTTTGGCCAGCCAGTTATATGTTACTACCATAAAACTTTTTTAACCAAATGTGCAGGTATCAAATGCACCTTTAGCAGCATTCTCTAAACTAACTCCTGCAAAAAGAATCTAATTGGAGATTTGGGGGGAAGGAAACTGACTAACTAAAATTTGCTGTTTTCAAAAGAAAAAAAAAACAGTGTCCTTTTCCTTTTTTATAACAGACCCAGCAACATTTCAGGGGATTTGTTTTTTTTTTGCAGTTGGCAGTATCTTAAAAATAAAATGTCTGGACTCCTTTGGCACCGTTGTTGGAACTTGACCATCTCCATAAATTATTGTTGAAATCAGCTTGAACTAAAATTGGAGAAAGGTGGTTCTTTCTGAATTCATTTTTTTTTAAAGAGTAAAAATTAATTATGTGTTGCTACTTGCATCAGGTAGATAGCCACCTTTTTATGCCAGGCTTTTGTCTTTCTTAAGATAAGATATGGCTGCATCAGCTGATCAGCCAAATCAACACCCCCATGTGCCTGTTATAAGCCCTGATGCACACCGGTTTTGTCTGTACCCTGCCTCGGACAGTGACGTCTGACATGCCCTCGTTATGGATGGTTGTTAGCATGTGAACATCCTTCCTGTCCTTAAATTTTATTGCAAGCACTTTAGCTTTGTGCAGACCTTTACATTCACTTTTTTTGTTTTTTTTGGCCTCTATTAAAGGTCTGGGGAAATCCTTGGCATATCTTCTCACACTGCCACAGGCCAGTATCTAGAAACCCTAAAGAGTTTGAAACAAACAGACAATGCTATAAAAATTGTCCACATAAAGGTGGTAACCCTTATTGAACAAGGGGATCAGTAAGTCAAAAACAAGTTTCCCGCTTGTCCCTAGAGAGTCAGTACAGCCAGGAGGGTCCAGTTGACCATCTTTCCTCTCATATATACGAAAGGCAAATGTATAGCCACTTTCGCTCTCGCACAGTTTGTAGAATTTTACGCCATACCTAAAGCGCTTTGAGAGGATGTATTGTTTGAATCCTAATCTCCCTTTATATTTCATTAACGATTCATCAATAGATACATTTTTTGAGGAGTATAAACTTCAGTAAATTTGTGCTGAAGATGGTCTACCAGTGGGTGTATTTTATGAAGCCTATCATATTGGGTGTGATCTCTGCGGTGACAGAGGGTATTGTCATTGAAATGTAAGTATCTCAGCAACAGCTCAAATCTTGTTCTAGACATGGTTTGAGAGTACACTCGACTAGAACAGATTGGGTTGGTGCTCCAGTAAGAGCAAATTGATGGCTTCTTTATAATCCCCATGAGAATTGTAAGAGCCCAGAATTTTTTAAGTTCAGCGACATCTGTGGGATGCCAAGCACACTCCTCCCTGACTGCATAGCTATCTGGATTGGTATCAATAAATTAGGTAGCATATAAATTAGTCTGGGGAGCAATCTCCTCCCACATGGTATCCCCTAAAAATAGCTCCATATATTGCATAGAGGAGAAGTCATCCACATTGACATTAATGCCTGTGTTGGCACTAAAAGGGGTGATTTGGGGCTCAGCTAACTGTGGAGAAACCTGTTCCTCCTCCACATTCGGCGTAGCAGAGAAAGCACAGCTTCTTTTGCAGCCAGCTCACACACAGATGACATGTCAGAAAACTGACCTGGGTCAAAATCGGACGCAGTGTCAGTGGCGTCAGAGTCTGGCTAACACAGAGTTAAAAAACAGACTAAATGAGACTAAAACTTCTGTTAGCAGCAATCTGTAAACTAACTCCTGCAAAAAGAATCTAACTGGAGATTTGGGGAAGGATACTGACTAACAGAAATTTGCTGCTTTCAAAATAAACAAAAAAAATAAATCAGGAACAAGTATTATAAAAATGTATTTTCTGTGTGGTAGACCTTAAAACATTCTCCAATGCACAGTCCAGGTTTTGTATGGCAATCGGGACAGTGAAAAGGGGTGTCTGTCCTTTTCCCTTTTTTATAACAGACCCGGCAACGTTTCTGGGGGTTTCTTTTTTTTGGTGTTGGCGGTATCTTAAAAATAAAATGTCTAGACGACTCTTGCACTGTCGTTGGAACTTGACCATCTCCATAAATTATTGTGGAAATCAGCTTGAGCTGAAATTGGAGATAGGTGGTTCTTCCTGGATTAATTTTTTAAAAAAAGTAAAAATGAATTATGTGTTGCTACTTGCAACAGGTAGATAGCCACCTTTTTATACCAGGCTTTTGTCTTTCTTAAGATAAGATAAGGCTGCATCAGCTGATCAGCCAAATCAACACCCCCCATGTGCCTGTTATAAGCCCTGATGCACACCGGTTTTGTCTGTACCCTGCCTCGGACAGTGACGTCTGACATGCCCTCGTTATGGATGGTTGTTATCATGTGAACATCCTTCCTGTCCTTAAATTTTAGCGCAAGCAGTTCAGCCTTGCGCAGAGCTTTGCATTCCCCTTTTTTTAATTTGGCCTCTATGAGAGGTCTGGGAAAATCCTTGGCATTTCTTCTTACAGTGCCGCAGGCCAGTGTCTGTAAACTATAAAGAATTTTAAACAAGTGGACACTGCTGTAAAAATTGTCCACATAAAGGTGGTAACCCTTATTGAACAAAGGGTTCAGTAGGTCCCAAACAAGTTTCCCAGTTGTCCCCAGAGAGTCAGGACAGCCAGGAGGGTTCAGTTGAGCATCTTTCCCCTCGTATACACGGAAGGCAAATGTGTAGCCACTTTCGCTCTCGCAAAGTTTGTATACTTTAATGCCATACCTAGACCGCTTTGAGGGGATATATTGTTTGAACCCTAATCTCCCTTTGTATTTCATAAGGGATTCATCGATGGATAAAGTTTGTTGGGGAGTATAAACTTCAGAAAATCTGTTCTGAAGATAGTCTACCAGTGGGCGTATTTTATAAAGCCTATCATATTCGGGGTGATCTCTGGGGTGACAGAGCGTATTGTCGTTAAAATGTAAGTATCTGAGCAGCAGCTCATATCTTGGTCTAGGCATTGTTTGGGAGAATATAGGAGTCGAACAAATTGGGTTGGTGCTCCAGTAAGACCGGATTGATGGCTTTTTTATTATCCCCATGAGCATGGTAAGAGCCCAGAATGTTTTAAGTTCAGGGACATCTGTGGGATGCCAAGCATGCTCCCTGACTGTATAGCTACCTGGATTGGTCTCAATAAATTGGCTAGCGTATAAATTAGTCTGGGAAGCAATCTCCTCCCAGATGGTATCCCCTAAAAATAACTCCATATATTGTATAGGGGAGAAGTCAACCACATTCACATTAATGCCTGCGTTGGCACTAAAAGGGGGGATGTTGGGCTCAGCTAACTGTGGAGGTACCCAGTCCTCCTCCACATTCAGCGTAGCAGGGGAAGCACAGCTTCTTTTAGCAGCTGGCTCACTCACAGATGACATGTCACTAGACGTGCCGCTAAACTGACCTGGGTCAAAATCGGACGCAGTGTCAGTGGCGTCAGAGTCTGACGCCAAGAAGGCATATGCCTCCTCCAAGCTGTACATGCGCTGCATGTTTCACACCAACAGACTAAACTAACAAAATACTAAACACAATATTTTTTTTATTTTTTTTTGTAAAACACTAAAACAGACTAAAACAGACTAAAACAGTAATCCCTAAACTAACTCCTGTTAGAAGAATCTAATGGAGATTTGGGGGAAGGAAACTGACTGACTACGACTAGACAGACTATGACAGACTATGACAGACTACGACAGACTACGACAGACTAAAACAGACTAAAACAGACTAAAACAGACTAAAACAGACTAGTCTAAGACAGTCTAAGACAGTCTAAGACAGTCTAAGACACAGATTTTTTAAAATAAAGTTAACCCTTAAGGGCAAAAAAAAAAATACAGACAGTAAAAATGCACTGTCTGTAACAGATCTGGCAGGGAAGGGGTTAAAATAGGATTTTAATTAACTGAAGATACTTTTTATTTTTCACAGGAACAGCTGCTGCAACAAACTATCAGGATCTCTGTCTCTCTCCTCTCACAAAACGCTACAGAGAGGAGAGAGGCAGAGATCAGTGTCAAAGTGAGTGTTTGTAACACCCACTTTGACACCAGCCAATTGTGAGCGATCGCGGATCGCTCACACGCCGCAATTGGCTGTTACTATCTGCCTGGGATGCCGGGCAGATAGTAACAACGGGATTTCAGCGGAAGCGATCTCTGATCGCTCCCGCCGCCCGTTTTCCGTTAGGACGGTTCAGGACCGTCCTCGGTCGGCAACGCAAAAATGCCGAGGACGGTCCTGAACCGTCATGCGTCCTTAAGGGGTTAATAATTGGGGCAACCTAAGTTGAAATTCCCAATATGTCATTCTAAATTGAAATACTGAATTTTTCAAAAAGGGTTGTAATAACCCTTTGACGATTTAAAATTCACTGTTTAGTAATTAAAGCACATACTTAAGTATATGTAATCGGGTTCAATTTTGGAAATTATTTATGTGATATCTAGGGTTTACAAACCTAAATAGCTTGGAATTTCTTTGACCCAAAGTTGGATTTCCTTTCTAACATTTGAGAAACAAATGGTATATGTTCCTGCGTCTTCCAGTTGTATGTTCTTCAGTAATAGCGAAGCATTCAGAGGGTAAAATTCCACTCGTCCATTGTAGTTTGGGTAAATTGTGGTTTCTCCTGTGCTCCATGTCGGGAATCCTTGTCTATCGATGGAGCTGTTGTCTGCATAGTAATCAATGATTGTTTTATTACCCATGGTCCACTCAATCACATAGGATAAGAAGTGATTGCTTAAGGTGTACGAGGTCTGCAGGAGAATGGGCTGACCAACTGAGACATTGACAGAGCGCCTGTGGACTTTCATTTCTTCTCCTGATGAGAAATCTAGAAAACCAAAATCTCAATTTTAGAAATGTTTGTAAAGATTTGTGTAAATGAGAATTTACTGTAGTATGTGCATCAGGGGCAGCCAAAAAGTGTGAATTACAATGCTTAGATGTTGCTTCTATCTTGGGAATGGTGGTTCCCATGTATTACTCCACAACATGTGTTTACTTGTACCGAATGGTTAGTGGAAAGAGAGATTTTTAACTTGATATTTCATGCAATTTTGAAAAATGATATACTATATATATATAAACATTTGTGTGCTACTTTTTTGTTTCCATGTTTTTTACAGGTTTATAAAGTAGCAACATATTCTGCAATTCATATTGTCATCAGTAAAGAGACAGAAGAGCACTATTTGTTGCAGAATATACAGGATAGTTTACAGTTTGATAAACTCATCTGGCCGTTTTACCATCAATAGCACTCTTGTAGAACACTGACTCAGTTACCCTCAAATAGCGCATATGATTAAGCTTATTATACATAAGATAACTATTCATTGTTAAACCTCAGTATTACGCAATGAAGACGATAATCTATTGAAATAAAGTACACTTTATGACTGTGAACGTTTTTTTAGGGTGGAAAATGTGATCTTTTAAGATTACAAAATAATTGATAATTAGTTTAGTTCAGTCTTATTATTTTAAAATATATATTTCTCGATTGGCTAAATTGACCAGTTTACAGGGTAATTTTAAATAATGAGATTTACACGTTATGGCAGTTTTGAGACTCAACTTTGGAAATTCTGGCCAGACCAACAAAGCTGGATAGAATCTCTGATTCTGCCGAAACATGGATTTTATTGCAACATGGCTATTTTCCATCAGTTCATCACTACTCATTGTTTAGCAAATAAACCTCAGTAATACATGTACACACAAAAATATTTCCTTTTATAAACTTACCAAAGATCAGGACATGCATAGTAAGTATGAAGAGAGTAGCTCTTTCCATGGTGTAACCGAATGCAAATTATGTCAAGAGAAACGGTTGCCTGTATACATAATAGAGGACAGGAAGCAGAATTAACCTGTTGTGGGCATTATAATAACAGGAAGCCTGTATTGCTGTATTGAATACAATTTGGTTAACACATATATTCCACATAAAGGCTGAGACTCTATCATGTAAAGGGGCAGTATCATAAACAAATATAAAGTTTATAAAAATGGAATATAGTTGCTATAATAAACTAATAATCAAATAATTTATAAAAATTCAGGAACAGGTGACTTAGTCCAATGTAATTCACACAGGAGAGGACTCTGCACACTTACATAAAGATCAAGGTACTCCAGACCTAGGACTGGCAAAGCCCCAGTACAACAAGTCAAAAAATAAATATGGCCCATGCACTCCAGATGTATCTAGAAGCCTGGAACAAGAACAAGCTCTTCTTGTTACAATAAACCGGTTTCTTGATAGATCTGGAGTGCCTAGGCCATATTTATTTTTTTAATAATCCAATTTAATGACTTGAAGCAGAGATGTTCCATAGTAGTCCATCAATATTAACAAACATGTGTCACTGGTGTCACGTTAAGAATGAATCTCTGATCTCCTGAGAACCCACTCACACACAGACTGAAGATTGCTTCTTGACGAGACTTACAAGGCAGTAGAGGCTGGTCCATTGGAGAAGATAAGGTAGTGCCCTCACAGTTTTTGGTGCAACAAAAAAAGAAAATCAAAGCTATTGAATATTGAAGTGGTAGAGACTAATTTAGGTGTGTGTTAAGGGTATTTTATATGTGGTAGTTTGAAAGAAAAATATCCAGTTCTCTGGGTTTAGACTCCTCAGACATACATGGTGTGCTTTAACAGTATTTTGACATCACCCATTGGCTTTGCATTGGGTCACCATATTCTGATATCATAAAAGACATCCCAACATCTTGTATTGCCATCTAGGTCTGGAATTGACTGACAGCATCAGGGGTTGGAATTGAACCTCTTTAAAGTGATTGCTGTTCCTCAAATAAGTTTATCTAAATGTTTACGATATTAAACAACAGCATGACCTCTCGTTGGGTCAGGGGTTGGGTACATATGGTTAAATGAGTGTGTATCTGTGTGTGTATGTTTCTGTGTGTCAATCTATGTTTGCACCTGTGTATCTATATTTGTATGTATGTATGTGTGTATGTGTGTATCTGTGTGTCTGTGTACTTGCATGTATTTCAGTGTGTGCAAGTGTGTTGGTGTACTTGTATGTATGCCAGCGTGTTTGTCAAAAATATGCCTTCAAACACACAAACACTGCTCAGTACTAAAAACAACCATGCAAGGGTGGGAAAATTGTAGATCCCAAGCAGGGAAAGTATGGTGGGACAACAAATGGGGATCTACATTTTGTCCAGCCTTGTGCTAAACGGTGCCCTCCCCCCCAAAAAATTATTTACTCTTTACTATACCACTGCCCCTGCGGTGCTATAGTAAAGAGTAAAGCCAGTAACCAGTAAAGTGAAGAATGGGCCCAGCACATGTGATCATCAGCTTCCAGAAGCTCTCTCCTACTCTCCAATACTCCAATACTCCTTTAGCCTCTGGTCTGGAAAAAGGATGTCTGCTGTTGCAGAGACTTTACAGTTATTTTTGATGTATTATGTTGTATATTTTTGATGCATTTTTCAATA